ATTTTTACCAATGCTTCTTGAATTAGCGATTTTGACTTTCATTAAGATATTCAAATGAATTCATAAATGTGGTTCTAAGTTTTGACTCTGTGAATGTACTACTGAAATGAAAGCTACTGAGCAGTACTTTCATTATGCTGTACAAAGTGGTTCTAACTTTTGAGTCTTTGGATGGAATCCTAAATAAGGGCTTTCGTGTGTAAGCTTCTGAGCTTTTCTTTCCTGCAGCACAATTTTTTTAGCGGTACAAGCCGTTCGCTTGAGAAGTTGCGAAGCATCATCCTTTGCGTAGTGTTTTATACGTGCATGAAATAAAAAGAGCCGTTTCACAGCCTCAGACGGATCGACAAAACACCAAAAAAAGCGGAACTTTGTCTTTCGCATACAGTGGGAGATGTAAAAAGACTGAGCTGGCGAGGGAAAATGATCGTACTATGAAGAGTCAAAAGCACAATGCATTAGAAATGAAATGCGCTGCGATAGTTACTGTCAGTACTTAATTTACAGGTACAAAAAAAAGCGGATTTAAAGGATACAAATGGTGCTCTTATTTATAATCGAATATGAAGCAAGGCGTCCGGCTGAAACAACAAAGGGGAGTCGAAACATTACGGTAGAAAATCCGTCGTCTTCCAGTACCCCGTGCTCCTTGACTTAGATTATTTTTTTATCGAGTATGGAAGGTTTCAGTCACTAGCTGCACAAATATGATATAATGCAATTTTATGATTAATTTTAAACAAAAAACACTGATATTAGAATTAGGCAGTCTTGTCTTGGAGGATTAAGTTCGAAGAACAAAAGTTTTGGCTTCAATGTAGTAAAACAGGTGAAAAAAAAAATTACTGAGAGAGTACAGAATTTAAATCAAACTTGAATCACAAGGTTATACAAACAAGAGGCTTAGAAAATAAACCGAAATGAAGTCTGAAATTCATTAATCAACGTGAAGTTTACTTGATGTCTTTAAAAACATTTTTGAACGTACGTGTGGAAATGCGCCAATAACTAAAGACTGCTTTGCCTTATAACCTGCCCTTCATTAACGTTCAATCTTATTCATCAAAACAAAATGCTTTTATCCAAAATTCAATAGAACACAAAGCCCAGCTGGGTAGCTTTCAATGCTTGAGAAACGTTAAAAATCGCGAGTAATTTTATACAAGATCACAGCCATTTTTTTTTTCTTCATCTTCATGTTTTAAAAACTCAATCACACTCATAAATACTTACTATAGCATAAATCATTGTGAAATATTTTCTATACGCGACTTTCTGAAAATAAATCTTCACGAAATTTAACTCTTAACGTTGAAGTAAAATTAAATAAGTCACTGCCCCCCTGATGTTCAGCTTAAAATTCTTTAGCTTCCCGACATGTCAGAAGTTCATCAAGGATTTTTAAACAAAATATTAGAATTTTTTTCTCCCGAAACCTATATTACGTTAGAAAAATCACTATTTTGGCACACATTAAGTTATTTAAATATCCTTTAACATAGACAAAACTTTAAATTCAGACGCAAAAAAGGAAGTTTCGACTTGTTTTGCGACAAAATCGAGCTCGATAGACAAAAGGTGACCTATTTTACGAGGTCTTTCCATTTTCGACAAGTTGATACATTTCCAAACTCAATTTGCGCCTCAGAAAAGCATTTTGCGACAAAACACTGTTTATGGTAGATCAGTACATTGTTCGAAAGGTCCTTTAACAAGCAATTCTCTCTTTTGTGGTAAAGCAATTAGCATTTTTCACAACCACAGCCTGTATCAGAAAAAAATGTACTTTGACATCGTCTTCGTCACTTCGCAAGAGTTCGTCCACCTTTGACGCAGTACAACTTGGAAACGACGTTGAGCATTTACAACGAATGAACCCTCAAAAGATTTATCTAAGGATGATCAAACGTTGTTTCCTCGCCTGTCGCTTTCTTCGTCAAATCCACACTGTCGGCGTCATTTATTTTTTCCACCCGTTTTTCAGTTGCCCTCGTTTTCTGCAGTAAACCTTTCGTTCCAACCTCGGGTAGAGAGTTTTGTTTCTTTACGGTTGCATAAAAGTGAAATCCTTCGCTATTCTGTCCGTTTGCTGCCGATGAATTTACCGGCGAACTTGGTGACTCTGCTTCGTTAGGACTACATCCACTGTCCGAGTTGGCTCTTTGATACATTCTTCGTCGTTGAGCTCGCCGAATATATGACAGCATTGTTAACCGTTCCTTGAGTATGTTTTCCCGTTAATCCTTCGCGCTGACCGTCCGCAAGTCTTTCCCAGCCTGTATCGCCCGTGTAAATATTCGTATTTTGAATATTTGCATATTACATTCAACGTGATTCTTTGACATTATGAATAATAATGACCTTGATTCAAAGCCTTTTATGGTCATTTTGGTTATTATTTCGGACTAGAACATCTTCAACAAATAATAAATATCTCGAAAAAGGCGTTAACTCTTCCACAAAACAAAGACAAAGAAACCAATGAGAAACTGAAGAAAAAATAGCCCGTATGCAATTGTTTTAGTGTTTTTAAATCTCTAAGGCTCGTTCGAGATATCTGCTTGCCAAGGTTAGTTTTCCCTAATTCTCGAGTTTTTGTACAAAAACTCTGTTTGTTACTCACAGCTTTTCAAGCTGTGGAAACAATCCACCAAAGAGGCGGAAATATTGCTCATAAATTTGAGTGAAACGGTAAATAACTTCTTTAATCACGACTCTACGGAAGCCTACGATCAAAATATTATTCTTGGGGCGCCCTTTTCGTCTGGTTTGTTTGCTTATCAGGTTTATTTTTCAAATCGCAAAAAATACCCCGCCGACTTTTATCTCTGCGATCCACATCATGGGGCTAAAACTGTAAAAAGCCTCTGCGCATTTGTTTTGAGTGTTTCCAAAGGGACTATGACCCTTTCATCTCGTGGGCAGAGATCTTCAGACGTGCTTAGATGGCAACTGAACAAAATCATTTTGGAGCATCCCACATACCCTTTCATAAACGACATCTGTCGGTTAATAAAACAAGGTGATTCAAAACACGTTCCTCCTTGGTTTAACACCTTTATTTTTGTTCATTTTTCAAAACAAATCATTTGGGAGCACCCCACATAACCCTTCATAAACGACACCTGCCGGTTAATTTAAAGCAAGGAGATTCAAAGCACGTTTTTCCTTGATTTAATAACTTTAGTTTGGTTCATTTTTCATAAATAAAGACTTGTTTAAGTCTAGTATATACTATCTTCACAAGTTCATATTTTCTGCAAACAAGCTCTTGCGTCTTGGCGACACGTGGGTAAATAAACGATTGATGATTGATTGTATCAGTTTTATCACACAGATAAATCTCTTTATGAAACCAGAAGAACAGTTACATCCACACAATTCGCTAAAACTTATCGGAAAAAAATTTGGGAGGAAGTTTGAAATCAAGCGGAAATTGGACAGTCAGTTGTTGTTTAAAGATATCTGAGCTAAAAATACGAGAGATTTTCAACTTATTCAAGAGGGGGACGGGAGATATTAACTACGTTAGTGTACCAACAATTTTGCCCAAGGCTATACAGTAGTTTTTAAACAAAGTAACCGACTGGTATCCTCCTTCATTTGCATACCGTAGTTTCAGGAATGGAAAAATAAATATAATTAAGGGGTTTTTTTGAGCAACTAAGTATATTCCAGGATTCACTAACTCATTTCCTTAATTAAATAACCACTCAAAGACGTACGTTTATGTACAAACGACAAACTGCAGTGAATAAATAAGAACTTGATTCAAAGGGACAAGTTGACGTCATCTTCCTCTTACTCGCCCCAGTCCTCTCCCCTTCCCCTTTCCCCTACCCCTCCCCCGAAGAGTTAAGGACACGTCTTTAGGTCCTTCGTAACAATTTTGATCATCGTCTTCGCTATCAGTGCTGTCAGAAGCAGAACTGTCCTTTTCAGCATAGTTCTTGCGTTTCTGTCCCCTTCTGGGGGCAGGTGCCTTTCCTCTACCCCTCCCCCAACGTATTAAGGACATGTCTTTAGGTCCTTCGAAACAATTTTGATCATCGTCTTCGCTATCAGTGCTGTCAGAAGGGGAACTGTCCTTTTCAGCATAATTCTTGCGTGTCTGTCCCCTTCTGGGGGCAGGTCCCTTTTCCCTACCCCTGCCCTGGTGAAATACAGACACAGGGTGGGGACCTTGGTAAGCGTTTTCTTCTTCACTTTCTGTGCTATCAGAAGTAGAAGCGTCTTGTCCACCAACGCTTTTGCTCCCTTTACTGCTCTTAAAAGTAGAACTCCCAGACTCTTCATTTTCCTTGATTATGCCATTCTCCCGCATGCTGGGAATTTCGTCTCCCCTGTTTACAGCCGAGGTCGAAATCTGAGAAACATCACATCCTCTGCGAGTTTTAAGACTTTTTTCATGGTTGGAAAGTTTTATAGGAGTTAACTCAATCGACAACTCCATATTGGGACTAATTTGAACGTTCTTGCGCAGTCTCCCCCGGCCGCGTCCTCGGCCTCTGTAGCCTCTATCAGAGCGGTTTCCCGAAGAAGAGCACGCCCCAGTATTCTCTTTCTTCGCACGCTTTGTTCTTGTTCCTTTACTTCCATTTGATTCTTCTTCCTTTGAATTGGTTTCCGCTGAGTGCGACCTCTTTTTACCGCTCCCCTTTGATTGCGTCGTTTTGTTCTTTGGCTTTTTATCCGCAGATTTCTTTGGTTTCCCGTTAGTTTCGTTCTCGCTTTCACACGAAGGATTGAAAGTACGATTCAGCACTCGACGAATTCGCTTGCTCTTTATGTGTCTTGTTTCTTGGAAATTCACGCGGAAAAACTGCGTGATCGTCAGTTGAGTCTGAAGAAAGAAAGAAAAAACAGCCTTTTGCCATAAACATTTCCGGTTATTTTCACTAGGGATATGTAGGGAACAAGCGAGATGCATCCCTATGTAATCCTTTGTATGTAATCGTATGTACGTTATTCCGGTTTTGTAGGTCCGTACTACAGACGAAATTTTGACTATGAACACTAGCTGCCTTTTGCGCTTTGAGGGTCTTAAGGTGTGTTGTTACAAATGTAGGAGGCAATCGCACATTCGTTACAAAGCTTCGTACCGACTGTCGGCAAGCCTCCTTTGTTTCTATGTGTGATCATGTTATAACATTATTCCAAGTCTTCGGTACAACGTGTTTATTGATCACGAATATTTTAAAATACAAGGTTCAATCCTTGCTGTTCCTATTCCTCCGGGAGAACCCCCGGGATTAATACTTCTTTCGGTACCCTTACCCTCGGGAAAACCCCGGTCATAGACGTCTTGCGGTAACCTTCCCTTGGGGCAAACCCTCGGGACAAAGTCTGTAAGGGCAAATACTCTCATTATTGTATAACAATTAATTCTCTTTTGAGGATATATATTAAGAGGAAATAGCAAAATATGATTTCTCTAAAAGAATTGACCACGATATACGCGGTAATCTTTGTTTATTTAAAAAATTGCGCCGGTTTTGACAGAAGTTGTATGCAAAAAGCACAACATCAACTACGGTAAGTTATCTCAGCTCTTCCATCTTCCAAAAAAAAATACTGATGTCGATAAAAAGAGTCCATAAGTCAAATTTACCTGATCCTTGTTTAGTTGTTTTAACACAGGTAAAAGAAGCTCATCCGTCCTAGTAGAAGACCAGCCAAGCTTGTCCAGAGCAAACGTGTGCAAGTTAAGGTCTCATCAAAGCTAATTAACTACAAATTATAAGACAATTGGTTTACAATAAAACAAATTAATTAAAACATACTTTAATTAACTCCTTTTTACTTATATTGTTCAAAGGATATAATCTAAGAGAGTGCAGATCAGGTTTTCCCCATTCAAATCTCTCCGTTGATTCGTCAACTACAGGATGGAGATAAGCATCAAAGACTTCTTCGGAAGGAAAGCCGCTTGGTAGTGCAACTGACCTCTGCAAAACAAAAACAGACATATTATAGCGGGTCTGAGTTGTCTTGGCTCGCCTTGCGATAAGCTGAAAAAATCTCGGGCCACTCCCTCAACCAATCAGAAGTAAACCAAAACAATCGCGATTCGTTGGCACGTGAATGGTACGTGCTTTTCCCGCGCTTTAACGCGGTTACGGTCGACTCTCATTTAACCATTTCACTGTCTTCTTTTTCGCGATTAAGAGTATTCTTCTTCTCTCACCATTTTTCTTTTGACTTTGGTTTCTTGAGGAGCCTTTGTTTGATTTTGCGCTTCGTCATGCCACATTCTGCAAACAAGATGAAGGAAAATATTCATTTAAAAGTAAGCGCTACAAAACACGACAGGTCAAAGAAAAATGTAGTCATAATGGACAAAGCTTTTGCTCGATTGAACAAGAAAGGATGACTCTCGGAAGGTCGTAACCTACTTGAATTTTCTCAGTGTTTCAAGGCCTTCACCAGAAAACTCATGCAAAATCTCCATTGCTCCAACTGGCCCCACACCTGCAAACAAAACAAGGACGAATGGTGTTATTTAACAGTAACTGTGCCGTCTTTCCTGGGGCCTCTCTCTTATGTAACTAGCTTTTGCGAAGCGCTCGTGCGGATCAATAAACGTTTTGACGGACCGTAAGAGAAAAGGAAGAGTGCTAGTCGTTGGAGGGTCTACTTAGGCAAAGACAAGAATACGTCCTAAAAATATTGTGTACGTTGCAGCATACCTTGTATTCCTTCAGTGTAGTCACTTCCGGTTATGAAAGCAAGGCAGATCAGTTTTAAACGGTTCATTGCTGCAAGAAAAAGACGGTAGAACACATAAGATTTTAAATCGTTTGTAAGGAGTTGATTTTAAACAAATACAAAGAGCGTACTGGCGTTGGACACTAACCAAGATTTTTCTGCACCGTATCGCTTTCGTACAGCTCAGCATATTCCTTCTGATTGAAGATATTCTTATAAACCCGCGTCCCTCCAAACAGGAATATATCACTGTCGTCTGTGATGGAACCTTCAGTCAAACCCAAGGCATCTAACATGGCACACTGCGCTTCCGCCTCCATCGGGCTTACAAGATACGGGACACCAAACAACTGAAGTAGCTCCTGATTTGGGGGGAGGGGAAAATGTGAAAATATCAATTGAATGGCGGGCATCAAAAGAAACAGTACTGAGAACTGATTGAATATTAAGCCCAAGCGCAGCCTAGAGTTGTAACCGTTTGTGATGTTACTAGATACAAAACTGGTGCAAGCGTTACCGGAGCACTTGACAAAAATGTCGTGAACGGTCAAGACAAGACAAGACAAGACAAAACATTTATTATCATAATATTACAAGTGTCTCAGTCTCGCAAAAAAATACCGACAAATAAACCGGACAACACTTCTAAGTTTAATCTTAAAGTAGCAGTGATATAAATTGGCTGTATTACTCGAGTCCATTAGAAAGATCTGGGAGAGGTTGAAACTTGGTTTTACTTTTTTATGCTGAAGTCGGCCAATAAAAATCCATGAGAGTTTCATTTTATAAACGGAATATTCTTCAAGTCTGACAAACTCGGATAAATTTCGAGCTCTCAACCTGCGTCAGAACGAATTAAGGAATTGTGTTTTTTTGCGTGTCTTACACATCATTAAAGAAAGATTTTCTCGCCTTTCTTCTTGCTTTTTAATTACCTGACACTCCGTAAACATCTCATTCGACACTGATGCTGCCACTCGGTTCTGTCGAGCTTGTTCGGTCGCCAACGTCTGTTGCTCAGCTTCAATGTTCTGCTGAATCTCTTCCAAGCCTTCCTAGAGAGAATGAAACATAGGTGATTGACACTAAAACGACTGAAAATAGCTTGAAACGAGAGGGGAACTGGAGCCAAGATGTATCCCGCAATTGTTTCTGGGATGGTTACTGGGGACGCTTAGGTCAGCTATTGGCCAATTTTCCTTCTCCCTAGCAACAGTTCCAGAAGTCTTTGCGAACGTTAACTTTCTCGTTTCTAAAGTGAAGAATCATGGATTCTATTATCCATGGAAGAATTAACTTACCATTGAAGCCCCTTGCCACTCCACAGGGAGCCCAGAAGGTCCCGCCTCTTGTTCATCCACAGAGATACCACCTTTACTTTCGTCCAAGAATTCGTGACTCTCCAAAACTGACCCTTCAGCGGCGTCCGGCGAAGGATGGTCTTCGTCTATATCAGCTGTGCTTCTTTCTAGGGACGCAGTTTCCATAACAATGCTACTCGATGTAGCCTCGATTTCCATATCCCCTTCATCGGGTTCCGTCACATCTTCCTCGTTAACAACGGTCGCTTTAGAATTAGTTGGAAGAAAAAGTCAGCACTGCATTTCAGTTTACATCACTCTTCACTCCGTAATCTAGCTATGCTCCACCTGCTTGAGCCTCTGGATTAAACTCTAAAGTATCGTTTGTTATGCTGTAAATAAGAGATATAAAGTTCGAGTTTCCGCCGGGAACTGTGACCATTGAAATGAAAGCAGTGCTTTCCTGTGGTACTGTTTGTTATGCTGTTCAAGCTAAGGTGGTTATCACTTCTGAATCTCTAAGATCCCAGATACCCGTGGTTTAAGTTTGAATCTTAAATTTACGCCGACAACAGAAAACTGAAGCAAACAGAGTCACGTTGTTATGGCATCATTGTAAACAAATACAAGACACTTATTTCTCACCTTCATCTCCCTCCTTCTCCTTTTCTTCAGCTTGCAATTCATCATTAACGTCTATTAAATTCACCACTGCAATATTCCCACTCCTTCTACTCTGAACTTTTTCATCTTTATCTTTGATTAACTTCGTAACTTCCTCAACCTCAGAATCACTTTCATCAATACAAACTGTCTCCAACGTAACAGGTTTGTCTTGCACGAGTGGCTGATCTCCAATAACCGAAGATGACCTGTTGTTTTTTGTTTCTTCCGAATCAATATTACCACAAACTTGGTCTGTATCTAAGGATGCGTTGGCGTCCATCTTATCTGAGCTGCAACAGGGAAGGTCTCTTTCCTCTGCAATTTTATGCCCGTCCTGTGCACTGCCAGTTAAATCAATAGTGGTTTTCTGCTTTTTAGAGTTTTCCCACTTTTGTATAAGATCATCAAGTTCTTTTTTCTTGTCTATAATCTGCGTAAGAAGGGTTTCGTCGTTATTACCTGATGTCGAGATCCCTTCTGTAACTTGACCAGGCATTTTAATAATTTTCTTTTTAATACCCCTTTCTATCACATCTCTTGCTGCAAGCTCTCTGTCTGTCTGTTCTTGATTCACAACTGTATCACTCACTTTATCAGCCGCATTTATCGACGTTCTGCCGAGCTGCTTTTGATCTTCAACTGAAGAAAAACTAAACGTATTTTCCTTCGCTCGAAGACTCGTGGGCGAATCACCAGCTTCCGCGACATCCACAAGAGGGGACAGAATTTCCGAATCACTTGAAAAGAACTCTGGAATATCAAAACTGGGAACAGTTGGTGGCACGGACTGTTTGGGTCGTGGATTTGCCCAGCTAACTACTTCAACTTCCTGATTTTCACGGAAAAATCCTCCCTCGCCAGAGAAATCTTTTGATGTGGATCCTGAGAAAAAATTTCAATAGTTCCTTATATTCTGAGTGTGTCATAACTTCCCATAATATAAAGTTTCTGAAGTTGCAGAGTCAATTTTCCTTTTATCATTGGTAGGAGACAGAAGATCGTGAACAGCAGTTATATCAAAGAGTGTTGCATTCAGAGCATGAGTCTAGTTTATTTCTCTTCAAAATAATAGATCGAAAGTACAGGTAGACTGTGCTAGAAGTGCCAGAAAAATATTAAAATGTGCTTCAACAAGGAGATAGATTTTGGTGCACAGACGTCATTCTAAGATGCGTTCATCTCCATACAATGATTAAGAGCTTGTTCAGTTATACATATGATGTAAACTTCACAATAATACAGCTGGAAATTAATAGTGGGAAGAAGCTGACAATCTATGCAAGCCTCAGCTTCTAAGATTTTGTCTTTTAAGTAGTACACGACCATAGTTAAGGAGAGAAGAAACAAAATTCAGAATGTGTCTGAGAACAAGCTGTAAAAATAACCAATTTCCAAGGTTAAAAAACATGCAATCCTTAAAATCAATTGCATACAAGGTCTTCCCCTTACCAGCTTCTTGGTTGTCTTTTTCTGGTTCCCGTTCATTATTCTTGATCAAAATGTAGTGAGCCGAGTCTTCAGACAAAATCTTTTGTGATTTAACTGCAGCGTTTTTGTCAACTGAATCCTGAGGAGCAACTCCAGCCAGTTCTCCTGAGTTTCTGTTATTCATTTCTTTACGAAGTTCATCCAGGCGCTGATTTAGTTTACCTCGCTTTAGCACCCCCTCCAATTGAAATGAGGAAAAGTTGCCTGCTTGCTGAAAAAAAAAGTGCATTTTTAAAATTGCATTTGAAAAAACAAGGCCGTGCTCTCGCTGCACCTGGTCACGGCCTGGCATCTAACTTTTGCTACTGGGCAACTGCAAAATATTGGTTTTCTCACAAAAATCATAGTTGAGCACCCTGGATTTTACAGGATCAGAGCACTGGGCTCCCTTAAATTATTATACAAGCACAGGCCTGAATAATAATATTTAATATAACTCCTGCCAATTGCAGTATTTTGTAAAAGCATCATCCTTTCTGAAAATATTATAAAGGTCGTAGTTTTTGCTTAATAATAGGAGCAATATGATTTGTTGTTGATTTATTTCTTACCAAAACCACATCTGTAAAAAAAGGTACTATGAACAGGAGAAAATTTAACACTTAAAGTCTACAACCGAGGATCCAATAGGACACTAAACTATGGGTCAATATTCATGGACAACTCTGGGCTATCATCAAGGGCTGGGGTTTGGATTTCTCCCAGTTACGGTGAATGTGACCTCTTGAACTACATTCATTGGGAAAGTGAAGAAAAACAGAACCAAAAGAAATTCCTAACTGTTAGACACCTTGCCTACTTGTTGTATTCAATGGGAACTAAGTTGAAATCTTAGTGACAGCCCAGGTAACTGATGACAAAGATTTTGCATGTTGCCTACTAGCAGTACTCAAAGACTTTTGATAGAAACAGTATCAGTTGCAACTTCTAAATGCTATGTGACAATGAACTGGCTAATAAAAGTATGTGTTGTTAAGGATGAAATTCCGGGAACATAACAATGATTTTAAATCATAATAATATAATCTTTATACCCCTGGCATGTCAGTTTTTTTCATGAATTTTCTCTCTTCTTTCATCTCTTGAATCAACTCGTGTTGAATTTCTGCAGGCAGCGACTGAAAGTCCTCCGACTCAACATTTATAGAGGTTGGATCCTGATAAGTTTCCTGTTAAAAAAAAAAAAGTGTTCATATTTCAAACTGTAGCCCAATCACAACTTAAAGGGAGTTTGGCTGTGATATTCTGAGTAACAAATACTTTTACAAAATGATCTTAAATTTGAAGGAAAGTTTAACATTATTATTGTAGAACAGAAGGGCTGTACTCTAGTAGTACCGGTTGTTCCCTGACACTACATTTTTGCTCTTTGATGACTACGAAAATATTAGATTTTTTTCGTAAAAATCATGCCCAACGCATTTTAACAGCACAGCTGCAACAACATCACACATCCCAGGGAAGAAATAGCATTTACTATAAAGGAATAATGGGTAAATACTTTGGTGCTTTTTCTTTGATCACTCTTACCTCTAACTGTTGGTTACGGAATTGATCCAGTAACGGAAGTTCCAAATCCTCATCTTCTGAAGAGCTGTATTTAATAAAACCACCACATGAGAAAACAAGCTGTGCTAACAGTAATATATTTACAGACGTGTAGAGTGTAAGAATCCTAAAAAATACTATAGCTGTCAGGATAGTAGTACATGTATGATTTTGGCTAACAAATTGTGATGAAATCTCTGTTTGGTTTACTTTGCTGGATGCTGCAAAGAACTCTACTAATTGAGAGATTCCAGAAAGCACCTTTACCCACCCTGTGGAGGGTCAACAGAATTTTTGAGGGGGAGGGGGTCTTAAAGACCAAAAATTTTAAAGGAAAGTATGAAGACAAACTGGAATTTCCAGAGGCTGCAGTCAGATGGTGGTTTAAACCAACAAACAATCCATGGGGGAGTATGGCAAATTTCTGGAAAAACAAACTGAGAGAAAGGTGCAGAAAATGATGAAAGCACCCTCAGATAGCCCAGTAACAGCAGGACAGAAAAGTCAGGGCCTAGTATGTATTCACCGTAACTACCGGTAGTTCACTGGTTGGCAAGTATTTCCAGATTTCATTAAACATATTTTTGTCGTGTAGGTTAGTATAGCGGCCTCATGTTTGGCCATGCATTAAAGTAAGGAGATCTCAAAAGTACCTATTAAAATTCCTAACCTTTTATCCTGTACACTAGCAGTTGTTGTTGAGGGTACTGCTGGTAGTTCAAACACATCCGGCTCTCTTGGACTCCTACTTCTTATAGTAGTTTTGCTAAAATAAAAGCAAATGATAAATTATGATATATTATTATAAAATAACTTTCCTAACGTGACAACTATCAAGTGCAGAAAATTTAGCAAGGAATTATACATAAACACATAATGAACAGACAATAAATTATTTGAAGGAAGTATGCAAGGCAAGTTTAATAGTAGGTGGCATGGCAAAGCAGATACTGTGGAACAGTTGCAAATTATCCACATGAAAAAATGAAACAACACTGCAGAAGTCTAAGCTGGTCGAAAGAGGGTTAGAATACCTTTTACGTCCGGTGACAGTTTCCAGAGCTTTGGCTTTCAGGTAGTTCTTGACAATTCTTTCTGCAGCTTTGTTAGACCCATGCACAGCTTTCAAATGCCTTTCCTTTCTTGCTGCCTGGGAAGCAAAATATCATTGTCAAAAAAAACTCTGCCTTAAATTCAGGATATATTATATTGGAAAGGGATATGTAGAAATATTGCAGACCTGATGAGTTAGAAAGACTCATTGAAAAAAAACAAAAACAAAAACAAAACAACAAAATAAAAAGACTCATTGAAAATAGCTGCTCAAGATTTTGTAAAAATTGGAACAAAAAATTTACCTCTTGATTTCATTCAACTATTCCTTCTCTTTGTGATGTTACCATCAACAGCCTGGCGACTATATAAACCACACCCAATGCAAGATCATTTGATTTGCTCTGATGAGCGTCTAGAGCATCTAAAAACTGCTTTTGAATCATTTCTTACGGCTAGGTTACTTCATAAAATCACACCAAAAAATTTGAGTCTCAATCCTTTACTGACACAGCACTGTAGTTAACCCCTTCTCTTTTTTGACAATTTGATCAAGAAACAAAGAGGTGATTAGCACTGCATTTAATATTGATATTTACCAGGGTCTTTTTCTTGAGATGTGGCACTCCACCATCGAACACGAAGACTGGTTTAATTCCGTAATATAAAAGCTTGCAGACTCTATGAAATAACCCAACCAGATGTGCATTGTATACTGGATTTCCATGCTTGTCACGCAATCCCTTTACAGACTGATTCAGTATCAAACTGGCATCTATCGCATGTTAAGAATTATGACACTCAAAGCTTACAGCATACCACGTGATGATCATACAGTATAAAATTCTCAAAAAAAGACCTTTTTTATTCTTTATTTTGTTAATTTTATCTATCGTTCTTAGTCTTAATTATTGTATTATTATTATTATAATGTGTTTTCCTTTTTTGAGGGGGCGGGGAGTGGCTATTTGTGGAAAGCTTAGAAACACTGGCTAGTCCCATGTTTAAATCCCCTTACATTTAAAAAGAATAATAATGGTTGTTAGGGCTTTCCTTAAGAGCTGAAGGCCGGGGATTTTCTCCAGCCACTATGAATGTGGCTCCTGGCTACTTTGATTGAAAAATAGCAGAAAAAATATAATTATATATATATATGTATATATGTATATATGTATATATGTATATATGTATATATGTATATATGTATATATGTATATATGTATATATATATATAAAGGGAATATGGCCCCAAAAGATGTGCATCAAAAATGGTGCTGACATAGCTCCAGTTTCTCTGAAATGGACGGGATTCAGCCGGGTATTCATGGGATATTGGTGTGATGTCTCACCAATGGTTCGAGTCTTAGCGAGTTCCCCCCAAATGGCTAGGACTAGCTATGTGAATGGCGAAAATTGTAGTCTCAATCCGCCGGAATTTNGCTGTTTGATTCCTTGCCTGCTTGATATATTTATTAGGCAACTTGAAATCTTAGTGACAATGCTGGTTTTTTTTATGTACCAGCACAAACTAACCTTTGCCAGGGATTAAACTAAACAGGCCTCTGCTTTAGTCTGTTACTTGAAGGGGTTAGATTCCATCTGTGAGGTAAGCTAACACAAAAGAACTCATTACTTCAAAAAGGACAAATTACTTGATTGTTATTTTTCTGTTGTTTGATTAGGTCTGTGCCAGTACAACACCATTGTAACATCGAATTTGCTGGGTTTTAATACCATTGTATTACACTTAGAACCTCGGGGTAAATAACAAAATTAAGCCAGTACTCTTAAACTTAATAAATCTGGGCAGAATTACGACTACCACTTTCTTTATTTTGCCAATCTGAGAATCTGTGACTCGATCTGATAATTTGTTATAAGCTTACACTACACAGTGGCTACAGCAGCAGACTAAGCTAGTAAATGGGATTTTCCCTCCGTGGTGTTTGGGGTTTTCCCTCGCCTTAAAGATGTTTCAGTTAATACATACAGGGAAAATGTAAATGAAGCTTAAGTCATCAAAAAATATATCTGCATTAAAGGATACCCACTCCAAGAATTTTGTTCTCGAGAGATTCCAGAGTAACAGGTCGCCCAACACTCTGTAAAAGCTGCCAAAGGCCTTTTACTCCCATTTCTTAAACAGATTTCAGTTTCGGGGATACATCTATATCAGGAAAGTTATGCTAAATTCTCTTGTTCTCTGAATCTTGTCTGATTGAAAGCTGCGGCGCGAAAACAGCATGAGAAATCGAGAAATTGATGACAAAGCTTCTTTGGCCGCCATGTTGGAAGTTATCGCGCATTGCATTACGATGGAATACCGCTGGGTGAGTCACGCGATGGCTTAATCATAAGTAAGGTCAAATAAATTTTCAAAAAAATTTTTAGATGTGGGCAATAATTTTCTCGTTGAACAGATGTCCTAGAAGGTGGCAAGGCTAGATTGTATTCGCAATATTAATCATAACTTCGGTAAAGCAAATATACACCAAGCAAGCAGACTTAGCGGTTACGACATTGAATGACCTTGACAGCAGGTGCGTGGGTTGCGAGGATGGGTAAATAGATAGAACCTTCGAGATTTGAAAAGCGTGACATTACGTAGCATCTATGAAAAGAAACTTTTATACAAGGTTTTCATTCCCCGCTTAAAAAACAAGAACCGTTTAACAAAAACAAAGGAAACCGGAAGATAAATATTTCAAAAAAGACGAATTTGCTGTTTAAAATTACTTTAAATGAGAAACGAGACGACGAATTTGTCACGCATTAGTTTCAGAAATATTTTGTAACTTTAAAAACAGGGAATCCATTAAATTTCATTTCTTTAACGTTTCAATATCAGGACATGAAAAATGCAGTCATGTCACCGAATAAAAACCACGCTTTAGAACATACTGGTTGTTTTGAACTAAATACCAGAACCAACATCCCTGGGAATTATACAATAGATCACAGAGATAGTCCCCCTCCTACGATTTTCGAAAACAAAGCTAAGATGTTTTGTGGTTTCTGAGTCGATGACTGGGGTTTTAGGGAAAAACCCTCTTCTACTGGGTCATCAAGTTCCGTCAAAGTGGCCTTGGAATATTTTATCTCATTTTCATTTTTTACTTGTTGTTTAAAAAGAACAGTCTTTTTTGGCCAAAGTTTCTTAGCTTGTAAAATAATTTGGACTAACGCACTGTTCAGTGACATCTGAGTAAAATAAGGAGAAAAGGTAGGTAATTTCCGAAAAAACATAAACAACAAAAAACAACACTAACAGTAAGCATGATGTTAGCCTGCCGTTAGGGTTTTCAGTCTGGTGTTAGCAACGCGACGTAGCTTGCGTAGGAGAAGGGGGGAGGGGAGGGGGAGTTGTCACGACCTCCATAAAAGATTGTCAGGAAAATATCGCATTTTCTTTTTTAATTTCAAATATTATTATTCTTTTAAGATTAACTACTAAAAAGGAAAAATCCTTTAAAACTTTGCCCCTATTCCGCCATAGTCGCACTTGGGTACAGTCACGTGACATTTCTGAAAATTTCTATAAAATGTCTATGGAATGCTTTGTTTGCAAGAAGAGTACCACTTATAACCGTTACATCATATTTCTGGGTACAAGCTCTTTTAAAAAATCAAATCAAATCAGTATCTGATCATGGGTTCTAGTTCCGTTGGGGACACCATAGCATGATTAAATACACCACCAGAACAAGGACCAAATTCGGTGATAAAATTACGTGGGTGTAAAATCTTGGGGTGTGATTTTTAATATGCTTCCTGTAAGTGGTACATGCTCTGCGGCACAAATAATATCCTTTTTTAGACGTGGATCGTAATTTTCGAGCTTATAAATATCCGTTGAGTTCGTTGTTCATTATTTACACTGAGACTGGTATATATATATATATATATATATATATATATATATATATATATATATATATATATATATATATATATATATATATATATATATATATATATATATATATATATATATTTACTTTTCAAACTTTTATTAAATACTTTACAGCGTTGCAAATATACTAACGTAACATGACATTGCACGATATTACGTTACAATAGATTACAAATACATTACATTATATTACACTATGAACTTTAATGGTAAAGTAACTATACAAAAACAAAGAAAAATACGTTCTAAGTACAGACGACACTAGGGTACAGAGTCCAAAGGCAGAGCCCACTTCTTATTAAATTTGTTCATTTTATTAGTTTTAACACATATGTACTTTTCTGTTTCATCCAAGGTTAAAATTAAGTAAAATTAAAAATAAAATTAAATAGAAGAAAAATAGAACCAAAAGAAATCCCTAGCTGTTTGATTCCTTGCCTGCTTGATATATTTATTAGGCAACTTGAAATCTTAGTGACAATGCTGGTTTTTTTTATGTACCAGCACAAACTAACCTTTGCCAGGGATTAAACTAAACAGGCCTCTGCTTTAGTCTGTTACTTGAAGGGGTTAGATTCCATCTGTGAGGTAAGCTAACACAAAAGAACTCATTACTTCAAAAAGGACAAATTACTTGATTGTTATTTTTCTGTTGTTTGATTAGGTCTGTGCCAGTACAACACCATTGTAACATCGAATTTGCTGGGTTTTAATACCATTGTATTACACTTAGAACCTCGGGGTAAATAACAAAATTAAGCCAGTACTCTTAAACTTAATAAATCTGGGCAGAATTACGACTACCACTTTCTTTATTTTGCCAATCTGAGAATCTGTGACTCGATCTGATAATTTGTTATAAGCTTACACTACACAGTGGCTACAGCAGCAGACTAAGCTAGTAAATGGGATTTTCCCTCCGTGGTGTTTGGGGTTTTCCCTCGCCTTAAAGATGTTTCAGTTAATACATACAGGGAAAATGTAAATGAAGCTTAAGTCATCAAAAAATATATCTGCATTAAAGGATACCCACTCCAAGAATTTTGTTCTCGAGAGATTCCAGAGTAACAGGTCGCCCAACACTCTGTAAAAGCTGCCAAAGGCCTTTTACTCCCATTTCTTAAACAGATTTCAGTTTCGGGGATACATCTATATCAGGAAAGTTATGCTAAATTCTCTTGTTCTCTGAATCTTGTCTGATTGAAAGCTGCGGCGCGAAAACAGCATGAGAAATCGAGAAATTGATGACAAAGCTTCTTTGGCCGCCATGTTGGAAGTTATCGCGCATTGCATTACGATGGAATACCGCTGGGTGAGTCACGCGATGGCTTAATCATAAGTAAGGTCAAATAAATTTTCAAAAAAATTTTTAGATGTGGGCAATAATTTTCTCGTTGAACAGATGTCCTAGAAGGTGGCAAGGCTAGATTGTATTCGCAATATTAATCATAACTTCGGTAAAGCAAATATACACCAAGCAAGCAGACTTAGCGGTTACGACATTGAATGACCTTGACAGCAGGTGCGTGGGTTGCGAGGATGGGTAAATAGATAGAACCTTCGAGATTTGAAAAGCGTGACATTACGTAGCATCTATGAAAAGAAACTTTTATACAAGGTTTTCATTCCCCGCTTAAAAAACAAGAACCGTTTAACAAAAACAAAGGAAACCGGAAGATAAATATTTCAAAAAAGACGAATTTGCTGTTTAAAATTACTTTAAATGAGAAACGAGACGACGAATTTGTCACGCATTAGTTTCAGAAATATTTTGTAACTTTAAAAACAGGGAATCCATTAAATTTCATTTCTTTAACGTTTCAATATCAGGACATGAAAAATGCAGTCATGTCACCGAATAAAAACCACGCTTTAGAACATACTGGTTGTTTTGAACTAAATACCAGAACCAACATCCCTGGGAATTATACAATAGATCACAGAGATAGTCCCCCTCCTACGATTTTCGAAAACAAAGCTAAGATGTTTTGTGGTTTCTGAGTCGATGACTGGGGTTTTAGGGAAAAACCCTCTTCTACTGGGTCATCAAGTTCCGTCAAAGTGGCCTTGGAATATTTTATCTCATTTTCATTTTTTACTTGTTGTTTAAAAAGAACAGTCTTTTTTGGCCAAAGTTTCTTAGCTTGTAAAATAATTTGGACTAACGCACTGTTCAGTGACATCTGAGTAAAATAAGGAGAAAAGGTAGGTAATTTCCGAAAAAACATAAACAACAAAAAACAACACTAACAGTAAGCATGATGTTAGCCTGCCGTTAGGGTTTTCAGTCTGGTGTTAGCAACGCGACGTAGCTTGCGTAGGAGAAGGGGGGAGGGGAGGGGGAGTTGTCACGACCTCCATAAAAGATTGTCAGGAAAATATCGCATTTTCTTTTTTAATTTCAAATATTATTATTCTTTTAAGATTAACTACTAAAAAGGAAAAATCCTTTAAAACTTTGCCCCTATTCCGCCATAGTCGCACTTGGGTACAGTCACGTGACATTTCTGAAAATTTCTATAAAATGTCTATGGAATGCTTTGTTTGCAAGAAGAGTACCACTTATAACCGTTACATCATATTTCTGGGTACAAGCTCTTTTAAAAAATCAAATCAAATCAGTATCTGATCATGGGTTCTAGTTCCGTTGGGGACACCATAGCATGATTAAATACACCACCAGAACAAGGACCAAATTCGGTGATAAAATTACGTGGGTGTAAAATCTTGGGGTGTGATTTTTAATATGCTTCCTGTAAGTGGTACATGCTCTGCGGCACAAATAATATCCTTTTTTAGACGTGGATCGTAATTTTCGAGCTTATAAATATCCGTTGAGTTCGTTGTTCATTATTTACACTGAGACTGGCCTGACAAGACGAACTGACCTGATCAAGAAATATTCCCGACCTTTCAGTAACTCAACAAAAGCTAACATGGAAAGTTTTTTGGATCCTAAAGTCGAGGAGCTACTCGCAGACAAATCTGAGACAGAAAGATTGCAAGCGATCGCCTTTTCGATCGCCTGTTTGTGTACTGGTCCTACACCGTTTCAGCCTCCAGATTATTATCACATCCCAAAACGAACAGGTAAGATAAATAAAATCATAATCAGTCGAGCAACCACCGTTATATTTTAATCTCTTTCTCTTTGCTCTTGTAAGCTTTCATTCATTTCATGACTTATTGTAAGTCATATTGTAATATAATTACCTCTTCAAA